CCCCCCCTCCCACCCCCTACGCGTCGTTTTTTCCATCGTCGTGGTTGTCCCCTCCAAGGGGCCCGAACCCAACCAATCCAGCCTCTTCGCGTCCTCCGGCCCCGTTATGCTAGCGTCGTGCCCGAAGATGATCCCGCAGGATGCCTAGTTCGGGATGTACTTCGGGTGCTCTCCCAAGGTGGCGTTCGCCTTCCCTAGCCTCTCCGTCACGACGTTTGTGGCTCGGATGACGGATCGTCGATGCTCGAAGGAGCGATGCATGGACGGGACAAGCGTGGGCTTCGCGACCAGCTTCGTGAAGTAGAAGGCTTCGTAGTGGCTGCGCAGATCGTCTCCCGCCATGCGCATCAACCGCATGCTGGCCGCCAACAAAAGCTTGAAGCAATCAGCAACCCTTGAGAGACGGTCGTGTGAGATCAAGCCACCATCGACGTTCGCACCCATTTGCACCGCGGCGCGAAATGCATGGGTGATGCATATGACGGTGGACTCCTGGTACGCCGCCATGTCGTCGTCCTTCGGCCTGTCCTCGATGTTTGCGCCCGCGAACCACAGTGTCAAGTCCATGGACAGGTCAATTGTACGCATGCAAACAGCCGCACTCACGATGTTGCTCCACTCCTCGCCGTACCACATAGCACGCGCAATGTCCGTTGCCACCGACTCCAGCGAGTATTGCAAAGCGAGATTGTATCCTGGGGGGCATTCCCGAACTTGAAGACCCAGCCGTGCAAGACGCGCAGAGCAATATTCTCCACCACCGTCGCACGGGAGATCGCCCGCTGCAATTGTGAGGGATCGACAATCCTTGTTAGGCTCGTGGAGGATTTTGACATAACGACGCTCCGGGGGACGGCAGGCGCTTGCTGACCGCTAGCGATGGCGACAAAGTACTTCGGAACGCTTTGTCATCAACCCACAGCCAGGCACGGTCGACCAGATCGTTCGCCATGCCTCCCCTTCGTACCCGGCTTCGTCATCCTCCCGATCACCTTTCTTTTCGCCACGCGCCACCTCCCGCTCCACAACTAGAAGCTCCTCTCCCACTCTTGCCACGGGTGCCACAGTGCTTGAAGTTCCCGCACCCGGAACAGCGATCGGCCCCCCCACCACCACGCGCACTTCTTGCTGGATTTCCCCCCCTCCACCACGTTCCATGGAGCCTCCCTCATCAGTCGTGTTGCGCGGATGCTGCTGAGACGGCGTGGAGGGCAGCCCACCCTGAGGTGGCCTTTCCTCAGTCGCGCCACGTGCCCTGACTACTGTAGTTGTGGCACCTCGTGTGACATTGCGTTGTCGACGGCTTTCCAAGGGCTCGTCATCCTCACTGCCGACGTCGACAACCTCCTTCGCCTTCGCGGTATCGCAGGCACTCACGTGCTGCGTCTCCGAAGGAGGCGTCACCAATCTCCTCGCAATGCTCTGATCTGATGACCGTTGGCGACCTCTCCCCCGAAGTGCGGACACGGTGTCCTCTAGTGCTTCTTCCTTCGTCGCGACGACATCGTCGTCGTCGCCTTCGTCAGCTATCGCCCAAGTCTGCGCTCTTCGAGGCGGCACGCTTCCTGATGCTTCTTCCGAACGGAACCTTCTTGCCTTGGGGACATGTCGACAACCCCTTTCCCGCCCCTGAGTGTCCGCAGGGACGATATCCCGCTTGTTGCCATGGGCGCCGACTCACGCAGACATGCTTCCTGCTTCCCTCTGCAGGCGAGTTTGGCGGTCGGATTGGATGACCGGGAACACAACGTCGACAGCCGATGGGAGTTCCGCTGATCTTGCGAGAACAGCGTCTCGCATACAGATCTCTTGTGGCGACACCTATGTTTGCGACGGCGAAGAAGAACCGCCCTCGCCGCACAGAGGAGCACGACGTCCACGTGTGAGAGAGGAGGAGAACGACCCCGACGAGACTGCTCCGCGACGGGAAGAAGACAAGACAGACGGGGCCCAACCTCCCAAGGGGTGAGACGGATCCGGAGCGACAAGGACAGAGTGCTCCGCCTTAGATAAGCCTGAAGTCCCCGATCGCGTCGTCTATCCACGTGTCCACAGAGCTCCGCGGTGTGGAATGCGAGCGCTGTACACGGCGCGAAATGTCGGCGTGACGAGAAGGCGAGAAGATCCAGGACGATGATCGTCGACGACACTGAAGAAGTCCCCGACGAGGAGGCGTGAAATATCCGCGGCGAGCACACGACAGTGGTTTGGTGCGAGGAGGAGAAAAGCTATAGGGCGTCCCTCGTGGTTGTGCTCGCTGTGCAGCACGTGCGGCAGCCTTCTGTGCTCGAGACGCCAGAAACGAACGACCTTTATGCGGGACGGGGCGCAGACACCTCGATAAGATGGAGCAGACGGACGGGCCCCAACGCCGCTTCTTCGCCTGCCGGCATCGTCGACAGCGACACATGTGACAGCAACATTCCAAACCGCGTTCAAGCACCCACCCTTCATGTGTTGCCACTGCCACCCTCCCCAAGCCGCCAACAGACCCTTCGACGCCCCTGCCAACAGACCCTTCGACGCCCTTGCCAACGCCCGTCCATACACTCTCCAGGGACCAAAAATAAATTATTAAAAAAAAAAAACCATTCGCTCCCCCCCCGGCGACCAACCCCCCCCCCGCCCGCCGACCAATGACACCACCCCCGTCCACCACAATCCTCGACCCAAATAACCCCTTCAACACGTGGCCTTGTCGCTCTCGAGGCCGCAAATCACGCACGAAGCACTCTCCTAGAACATGAAGAACATCAAGCCTGTCTCTTATACACATCTAGATGTGTATAAGAGACAGGTCTCAGAACATGAAGAACATCAAGTACAAAAACAAAAACCGTCCACCACAATCCTCAACCCACATAACCCCTTCAACACGTGGCCCTGTCGCTCTCGAAACTGCAAATCACGCACGAAGCACTCTCCTAGAACATGAAGAACATCAAGTACAAAAAAAACAAAAGAAAGGAACTGCTAAGCATATGGCAACGACACACAAAATCTATACAACCATCAACTGGACGTCTCTAAAATCGTCGTGTGCAAACGATCGTGCGAACATCTGTACAGACAACCCCCCCCCCCCCCCCCCCCCAACCACACACACGCACATATACACACACACGCACACACACACACACACACACACACACACACACACACATCGTCACAGTCGCACCACACGGAGAGACGGGCCACTAAAGCGACAGTGGTAGTTTTCGGTCATCATCAATCATGATATCTCACGGATGGCTTTCGCTGTTTCCATAAGGGCGCTGCACATCATTCTGTTCGCCTCATCCGCCGCAGCATAGTGTTTCCTTTGCACTTCCACTTCGCTCTCTAGGATTTCGACCCCTGCTCCTCGTCGGGTGCCTCCCCTCCACCCTCACTGGCCATGGATTCCCCTCCAGCCCCCGCGCCTGCCGGCATCTGAAACCCCCCCGCCGCCCCCGTGTCTGGATCGTGTGATCCCCCTTCGTCACGGCCTCCATATCGTCGTACACGCTCCGGTCCATAACGAAGTTGTTGCCCTCCGATCGCCTGGCTGATGAAGCAAGCTTGAAGTAGTATTTCCCGCCAGAGAGGTTCTGAAACTTGTGAACCTTCTTGAATTGCTGCATCAAGTTGTCCCATTTCTTCCCGCAGTCGATGGCCTTCCTCGTGACGCCCATCGTCTGCAACCTCGCCCGCACGCCCTCCCACTTCCATTCCCTGGTCTTCATGCGGGCCAAACTGTGCCCCAACCCGACAATATACAGATCTTGATCCCTTTTCGCCCTCACGAGTGCGATCGTGTCTCCGACCGACCAGAAATTCCGATCGCCCTCGCCATCGCTCTTGCCGGTATCTTCATCCATTTTCTTATTCCGTCGATTTCTCGGAGTGGGACACTTCTTCGCACTCGCACCGCCGTTCCTCACCTTGCTCCGAAGGGGCCTAATCTCAGGCAAATTGTCAAAGTTGCAATCCTCATCACCGTCAGCATCGTCACAGTCGAGGGGCTCCTGAACAGCCGTGTCGTTGCCTTCGTCCACGTGGAGCCGTTGTACCCCTCTCGTTATTGTCTTCATTCCAGCTTGACGCAACGCCTACCTGCACTCTGCCCACAACTGCTTGTCGTCACGTTCAATGTCCGCACCTCCCTCACGCAAATCCTCCTATCGCTGTCGTCCTCGAGGAGTCCCGGATCCGCTTTGCGACGCAAGTGATAAGCGCATTCATTCCGGACGTTGATCCGCGCCGACTCCTCTAATGTGCCTCGACGACACATTTCAATTCCCGCCACCATAACGAAGCGTTTGAGGTAGACCGTCGTGTCGCGCCCCGCACAGACCAACGTACGTCTGCTCTGCGCAATCCCCATCTGGGTGGGGATTGATGATGCGAGTGTGTGTTGCCGGTGCTCCGCTGCTGCTGGACAACTGGAAGCTCGGATCAACCGCTACATTGCCGTCCTCGTCGCACAGCCCCTCGTTCAGTAGTGTCGTGTAAGTCCACGGGCTCTCCGCCCGCCTGACACTGTACGATTGCGTCGCCACCCAATCCTGCGTGGAACCACTTCCCTACGGCAAAGTCGACGACCTCACGTCTTCCCCCTCGTCATCTGACGACGGCCGAGGAATCTCGTGAGAAGGCAGGTGAGCATACAATGTCGGGTCGTACGCCTACTTCGCCATAGACCTCACACTGCGTTGCCAATCGGTCGCTCCTGCTGTCGTGCCTGCCGGTCTGCCGCAGGTCAGTCGACGATCCATCCTGTCGGCGTTCTTGGAAGATCTCCTTTTGCGAGCCACGACAGGGAGCAGGCCTATGAAACACACGTGGAAGAAGACAACGATGAGAAGCAGCACGACGACGAGGAGTAGCAAAGGCAGCCTATGCAGCAGGTCGGCCATGTAAGGGTCGTGGAAAGGGCAACAAACCCACGTCAGTGGTCGACCGTCCACCGAAGAACTCAGTCGCCACAAGAGATATCGAGGGAAGATCTGTGCTCCAACGTGCACGGCGTGACGACAAACGACGAAAACGACGATCTTCCGAAATGAAACTACTGTCGTGGAACGCAGCGCCGGCGCGGAAAAGCATTCAAATTTCCAACCGTTGTCGACGCTTGCCCAGCGCAGCAGACGGCATGACACCGGCCGGCGACGCCCGATTCGACAGCCGGAGCACGGACGGTGACCGTTTGGAGCCGTTGGGGTGCCGCGCAGATGGTGGAGGGCAGGGATGTCCGTTCTCCCGTTCGGTGGACCACGTCTGGACAACCCACAAACCGAAACTGTGCGTCGACGCATGCCTTCACCGCTCCGAATTTCGCACTTCCTTGTGCTCCGAGGGACCTCGGAAGGTCCCCTGGGCGTTAGGAAAAATTGGCTGTAGCCACAAGGACGCCACAAGGAAATTTCCTTGTGCTGTTTTCACTTTTTTTTTCAAGAATCGTCCCCGAGGACAGGTGGAACGAGCAATTCCTCGTGGATTTCGGGTCCACAAGGAGTGTCTAACGAGGCCCAAAGTTTTCTGTCTAACTGATATCGCTTTTGTTGCAAAATTCTGCCAGTGTGACTCCCACCATGGCAACAAAATTCTGCCAGTGTGACTTGCACCAGTCCCAAATCCGACAGAACTCAATGCAGTGCCACCATAGGTGCCTGGCTGCTGGTCTCCACTTCACTCCTACACCTAGACCTAGAGCACATATCTGAGACTGGACGGTTCCACCCTTGCAGCCAATGTGCTGTGGGCACCGACCTATGTGACTGAAGCCGGACTGTGCCTTGCCGTAGGCACCAACCGACCTATGTGAGTGGAGCCAGACTGTTCTGTGCTGTAGGCACGGACCTATGTGAGTAAAGCCAGACCTTCGCAGAGGGCACTTGAGGAAAAATACCCCAAAGTCTGCGAACATCCACTGGCCACCAGCTTTCATCTTCCAAAGTAAAATTATGCGGTCACCTTCTTAGTGAACAGTATCTTAGGTCGCATACGACGATGGGAGGTCCCTCATGGTGCAAGCATCAGATGGAGAATAACCCCATATTGTGGTGATGCTTGCACTATGAGGGACCTCCCATCGCCGTTGACACTAGTTTGTGCGGAGTTCTCTGACTGCCAATGTGTGTGAAATAAGATGGTGCAGGGCAGAGGTCCGTTTGGGACTGGAACTGTGCCTGGTATACTCTCTCCCTCTGGACCCTTGAAGCTACGCCAGCTGATGCACTCAGTACTCTTCCCGGTCGTTTTGTGAGGTCTTCAAACTGGTATTTTGCAATAAAGATGCTACCCCTGTTCTGTTAAAAATGGTAAGTGTTCTATCCATCCAGATTGCATCTTGCTTGCCCTCACTACTATCTGTCTGAAATGCTCGAAAGTTGTACTAACTGGCCCGGCTCAGTTGGTACACCCCTGAACTGTTGCACTACAGACCTGTGTTCGAACTCCACTGAACTAGATGAATAAAAAATTGCGACTTGTCTTTTTTTTTTTGGGGGGGGGGGGGGGGGGGGGGGGGGAGAAGAGCTCCAAACTGGTTACTGCTGCAATAGATCGTCCAGATACCGTTTGTTATGTCACGTCTGGGGTCTGGTCCCACCTACCATTGTTGAGTTTAGAAAACTTAGCGGTGTGACGCCATTTGGACATTAATAAATTCGAAAAAAGAAATTGCAAAACTGAAAAAAAACGCTAGAAACAGCTTTTCTCCTTATTTTTGATAACGTAACTCGGAGAAATAAAACATGTCTGGAACAGTCGGAGTGAAAAAGGGATACTCCCCGTGGTGAGGGGAGAGGAGGTCACCATTTGTAAAATGGATAGGGACGATGTGGATGGCCAAATGCATTCATTGCCCAAAGAAGGAAACGAGTTTGATTCCAGAGAGCCAAACACAGCTATCAGAGTTCCTCCGATTCAGGCTGTAATGATGTCTCAAAAACCGAAAAAAGGAAAGGCACTGCAGTTGAGAAATGTACCCTACACTCGGTAGGGTAGTTTTCTCAATGCAAAATGGTTTCCCGCCCAAACCAAAAGGGCCAAAGCATCGTCAAAGAAAAAGTCTACAAAATGACAAAATCTAATAGGTTATTCTCCTGAGGCCAAGTATTTCGGTATCATTAGATTCGTAATACATCTCGGCAGAGCTCCGTCCCACCATGCCACAGATGATAGAAAGCTCAGCGTTGAGAAAACTCAACACTGTAGGTGGGACCAGACCCCTGATGTTGATCTTGGCGGGTGGTGCAATCTCTGCTGTTTCCAAAACGCTATCCTTGCATGAGGTCCAGTGAGCGGTTCTCCATACGCGGGTGACGTGTCCCACCAGGTACTGTACCCCTCCTAGGGACCTCCTTACTTGTCAGGAGCTTGAAACACGATGTTTTTATTGTTTTTTTCCTTTGTTTTTCTTATCAGGAGCTTAAAATACTCGGGTAACGTTTCCAAAACACCTGCTGAGACTGCTACCGTAGGTGTGGTGATAAGAGCATCCACCCCTAGCACCTCAGCTAGTGACTCCATTCCATTCTATTGGTGGGAAGTAGCACCTGCTGGAAACCGGGTCCAGCGGCCCTGGTTTTTTTTTTTTTTTTTTTTTTTTTTGATCATGAAAGGCCCCGGGTCTGATACAGAACAGATGAACAATGCAAAGTACAAGCTCGTGGGTTGTATACAGCAGCTTACAGCGTCTTCAGTCCATTCTGGAGCGCCAGATATCCCATAAACCTGAGCTGTACTAAACCCATGATGTGGGCATGGATTGAATTTATATATATAGATATATATCGTATATATAGCTGCACTGGTAAACCGTAGGCAGAGAGGGAGAAGAGGACAACAAACGAGGGGCTGTGGCAAACTGTTTCGTCGGAGTTCCGCCGACTCATCAGGAGGCTGAACGCTCAACAGTCTGCAGAATCCCCTAACTGATGACACTGTAAGTGATAATCCACCTTAACCCCGGTTGTGGTTAAGCATCAACAACTGCCCGGCAACTGATACCATGAGGTGGGCACCACCCACTGCCCTCAAGGTACCTGTGACGGAAATCAAAGCAGACTCACCCACACCAGATGGAAAACTCTACAGACTGTCAGTTCACACATCATCACAAGCCAGCAAAACACCCATGAAACAAAGAAAGGTCTGTCACAGCCAAAAAATACACTCCAGACACGCCGCTGGCGCTAGACGCACAGCATGGCCGCGTAGTGACGGCCCCGACCACTGCCGCTCGACCTGACCAGAGAATACCGTAGCATATATATATATATATTGTCACATAACTACAAACTAAAAGAGCGCACTTTGTGGAACAAAGAATAAAAGCAAAAAACAGGCACAGTGATAACATGCAAAAAGAAAAAGAAAAAGAAAAAGAAAAAACAAGGGCAGATTGAAACCATTAAATTTCTCATTCTTCTTTGAACTCCACCTCCA